GTGTAAAAGCTCTATGAGGATTTTACACTTACTTCAAGTTGGAAAAGGCTCTGTGGAACTTCTTTTAGTGAGTTCTCAGAAAAATCCACTTCTCTGAGGTGATTTTTCCAGAAAACAGTCAATGTGTCTGGGAGGAACGCCAATGAATTTCTAGATGCTTTACAACATTTCTGGAAGCATGAAAAACAAAATACAGAGACAATAACAAACTCTAAGACACATTCTTTTTTAAAGAAACATGCTGATCAATTGTCACGTTTCATATATTAATACATTTGATTCATGAGGCCTAACTAGTTTTTTTAACTAAGTGTAACAACTGCACAACAAGGATTTGGACAAATGTAGGTCTAATTCCTGTAAGTCTAATTCCAAGCAACCACCAATAAACTCTAAAAGCACACATTTATTTAATGGGCAAATTCATTTTTAAAGTATATGCATTTTAATTGTAACTTTGAAGATAGTCACTTACTGTTTTCCCCCTAAATATACATGTAAACCAATAAAATACACTCATTTTTTACCACTATCCACGAGACACTGACATTTATCTCTTCCTGAAATACACAATGACCTGCAGGTATTGAGGTCTCATAATTTATCCGCAGGTTTGATTAAGGCTAATCTCAAGGAAGGCTATGGGTGTATAACATGACATAGTACAGTAGACTTCCGATAATCCGGCACCTTTTGGACCTAGGTGGTGCCGGATTATCAGATTTGCCGGAGAATCGGGAGGTCCGGTACAGCTGCATGGCTTAACAGCAGGCCAGGACACAATCTCCCTCCCTCTCCCCTCCTCTTTCCTCTTCCTGTCTCTCTCCTCCATGCTATAACCTGATCCTCCTCTCCCTCCCCTCCCCTTTGCTGAAGCAAACCTCTCTTCTCCACACTGTAACACAATCCCACTCCCCCCCCCCCCCCCTCCCCCCACCCTCATAATTGGGAGGTCCCCACAGCTTAACAGCTGGCCAGACATAATCTCCTTCCCCTTTCCTCTTCGCTTCTCCCTGTTATAACCTGATCCTCCTCCCTCTCCCCTTCCCTTTCCCCTTTGCTGAAGCAAAACGCTCTTCTCCATACTGTAACATGATCCCATTGCCCCCCCCCTAAACCTTATGCTCTGTCGGGTTACAGCCAGCATTTGTGCTGAGCTGCAGGCTTTTTAATCAGCTGGTCAGAAGCGCTTGGCATTTTGATGCTGGAGTATCGGGAGTGCCGAACAGTTGGATGCCGGACTATCGGAGTGTTACTGTACATCTTTCAGCTTAAATAAACAGGGTCCAAGCAGTTTGCTTTATCCACAGCAGTGGTACCTTTGGTCCTAATGAATATATCTATATGAACTACAGTGGATCTCCAAAAATCCACCCTGGAAATCCAAAAGATAAAATCATCCCTATAATGGGAGACCAGTTTCTCATCTTAAGAAGCTGGACAGTGTCGTAACATATCACAGCCCATTTCCTTGCACTATCCTGTGAGTGGAAAGCTTTCCTCGGTCTTTTGCTCCTGGCAGAACAGTCTGACCTACCAAAGGGCAGGCCCAGGGGTCTGGAAACACCTTCAGGTTGTTTCTGGAAACATTGAGGACGTTTAGGGACTTGAAGCAGTAAAGGAACAGTGTGGGGAGCTCCACCAATCTGTTGTCAGAAACATCAAGTTCTTGCAGTTTCCTTAATCCAATCCAATTAGTTGCTAGAAAACACAAAACACCACAAATTTAGTGAAGATCGGTCTGTCAGGCTCTGATCCTGCACGGTGCTCAGTACTTCATGGGCCTTAGCCAAAGTCCACTGATGTCAACAGAAAGACTATTGACTTCAGTGTGCTCTGGATGAAAACCCCAGAGCTGTACTAAGCTCCCCACACAATCACTATTGACTCTGGTGGGTTAGGGGTCCAAGGAAACGTGCGTGTCCCTTGCAAGATCAGGAAGTGGAAAGGGTATGGAGAACACGGATCATTGGAGTTCACATACCACTTTCCTCATCAAATAACTTTTCCAGATAATTTTTGGTAGCGATGAGTTTTTGAAGTTTTGTGAGATGTAGGAATCCAGAAGGGAGAGCAGAGAGCCTGTTGATGGACACGTCCACCTCAAGTAACCTGCAGGAGTGGAAAAACGTCCAAAAAAGCATAAATAAAAGCACGAGCAATTACTAGTATTGTATAAAGACATTCTATTTTATTGCATTTTTAGTGCTACTTGGGTTGAAGTAGGACATGTTCTCACAAGTCATGACAAAAGCCACACTTTAAAACTTGACCATCCTGATAATTAACTTGGAAATAAGTATATTATGAAGTATGCAGCAGAAATGAGTCTTTGTACATTGAAAAGATAAAACCAAGAAGTTCTTCCTCTACCCAAGAAACATAGGCTCATTTCTTCTCTTCAGGTTTCAGCCCGTCATACGTGCATAAGAACGGCCATACTGGATCAGACTAAAGGTCCATCTCGTCCATTATACTGTCTGCCAACAGTGGCCAATACCAGATGCACCAGAGGAAGGGATCACAACAGGTAATCCTCACGTGATTCCTCCCCTGTCTCTCACTTCCAGAGAAACAGAAGCTAGGGACACCATTCCTACCCATTGTGGCTAATAGCCATTGATGGACCTAACCTCCATGAATCTATCTAGCTCTTTTTTGAACCCTGTTAAAGTTCTAGCCTTCACCACATCCTCTGGCAAGGAGTTCCACAGGTTGACTGTGCTCTGAGTAAAGAAAAACTTCCTTGTGTTTTCCTGCATAATTGATTGATCGGAAGCAGCTCTTTGCACTTGCTATTCTTTGATTTAAGGATACAGCACACACACCTTGTGCATATAATTTCATCAGATGACTGGACACTGGGCAGTTCGGTCAGCTGGTTGTCAGCTAAGTTCAATTTCCTGAGGTTTATCAGTCCCCATGGAATCACTGATGGCAGGGAAGCCAGGCAATTGGCAGATAAATCGAGCTCAGTTATCTGACATGAGATATCAATCAGCCAGTCCAGATCCACCCAAGGCAGCCTGAGGTTTGACCAGCTCACAGACAGAGCCTGTATGCCAAAGAAAGAACAAAAACCAATTTTAATATGACTGACTCACCTTATGGTTATAAAGCCAGGGCTTGTTACAATACTGACAAATCATCTGGTGTCCTGTAAGGGCTTCATTTTCCATACAATCAGCTTCTCAGAACCCAGATGATCCAGCTATGAAATAATGCTTTGATATCAGAGGCCCTGATTGTGAAGTTGCTTCATGGGATCCATCCAATGACCCAATGCCTAGCCTAAGCAGTAGAAAAGCTGCTTATGGTGAAGTGGTCTTCCATGAAACCAACACACTCTTCTCTGTCGGACACAGGATAGATCCTCACACCCCTGCCTCACCCAATACTGGGCAAGGAGCTGCCCCATCTTATACTGTCCATGGAGCTGGGCTCTGTGCCATGCAGGAGACATGTTGCCTCACTGATGGATACAGCCAGAGAACCTAGCTAGAGATACATACCACAAGTCCTTCTTCCATCCCAGCTTTCCTACCTCTTTCTTCTTTTGTGTTTTGAAGCTATACTGAGTCCTTTGTCCGGAGGATCCTTGCACCTGTATATCTATAAACTAGATTTCTTCCACGTGACACTCTTACAAGGACTAGTTTAGTGTTGTGTGTGTGGAACAGGTTCAGGATTGCATTTACATCTGAAATCTGGGGTGTTGAGTGTGAAGTGCTGAAGGAATGCTGCCTAAGAGGTGCAAACCCAGCAGGTAGATATGCTATACTTGCATAACAAATGTCATAAACCAGCATGGTTAAACTATGGTAATTTACACCAGTGCAAGTGACATGAAAGGTCTGTACCCCACTGAAACTATATTGGTCTAGCAACATCAGTTCAAAACTGTGCAGCATGGACTAGATTTAAGAGGGAGTTCCTGTAGGAGATTAGTAGCAGCAGAATAAGACTTATTGCTGGTGGGCTGTTTGCTAGAATACTTTCGTATGTATCATTCTTCCTTATGAAACTTTGGTACATCACCCACTCAGAGCCATTTCAAGGAGTGTTTTACAAACTCATGTCCAGAACAGGGTAAAAATGAGTCGCCTGATTAGAAAGCAAATTTGTGAACAGGGGGAATTTGCTCGTAAAGTTAGAAATAAACTAGCAAAATAGCACCGTTTATTGAGAGACACAATTTGGGCAGCAACTCAATTGCTGATACCATACCACTGAGGCCTGTGATAACAGGACAAAAATAACATTGTACCCATTGTTCAAAGAGAATGTGAAAGCTGATAAAGGCTAAAATAAAGTGAAAGCCTGAACTAACAAACACTTTGGAAATAGGAAAATGTGACCATTTAATGACCATTTTTTCATTGAAAAAATATCATAGGCAACATTTTCCAAAGTACTTAAGTAACTTTGGAGCTTAAGAGCTACTAATTTGTTTGGTTTGTAGGCTGCAAAGTGTCTAAGTAACATCTGAAATAAGATTTAGGTGC